TCATAAAAGAATATACTTTTATTCTCGAGAAATTGATCAATAATGAATGATAAGGTCGAAATTTAGCTCAAGTAAAACACGATTTTTACATCTACATTTTTTACATTTGTGTTGTTAATGCCTGCAATAAACAAGTAAATGGAGCAATAATGCTTATCATCAATTCAAAACTATGTTTGAGTTGGTAGAAAAGGAAAAGACAGAAAACGAAAGAATAGGGTCCGAAAGAGAGTATATATAGTATATTATTATTTTATATATTATAATAAATCATATAATAATATTTTATAAAAAATTAATTTTAAAATTTTAAAATCTTATAAGATAAATACAGTTAATTTTAAAGATTTTTTTACAATTAATTTTTATAAAATGTCATCATTTTTCACTTACAATATATAATTCTTTTTCCCACAAAATTTATGTATAGACGCACAAAAAAAAAAAATCACTTACACTAATATAAACGTTATATTTTTTTATCTTTAAATTTAGATTAAAATAAATATTTTAAATTTTAACTATTTTAGTCTAAAAATAAAAAATATATAACATACACTGTAATTTTATATATCTATGGCTCATTTTCTTACTGCCTTCCTCTTGGTTTTTTTTAACCTTTTAATGAAAATTATATTAAGTCCAGTAGGTCAAAGAAAGAAGTCTTGGAGATTTCCTTTTGTTTACTTTTTTTTTTTTTTTTTGAGTATCTGTCGCTTCAGAATTTCACATGTGGGTCCCAAAACGTTTTAAACCTTTCATAAAAAGAAATGAAGATTTAACACCATATCCTTAATGCTTTACAGTAATATTAAATGATCAACCACCACAAAATTTAAAAAGAATGATAAAAAGTTAGAAAAAGAAGTGACAACTGACATAATTTTAATTGGTAAAGGCTTTAAAGAATATATAAATACAAATTTTAAATAAATTAATTTATACAATTATTTCTAAAAAAATAACATTTAATAATTTTAAATTCAAATATTAATAATTACTGTCATTTTTTTTTTCTTATTTTCAAACTATATTCTTTTTTATACCAAAAAATTCTCTATATAAAAATGTAAATCTGCCAAAAAGGGCCAAACATTTTCTTCTTTCAACAAGCCATGCCCTGAGAAAATTAAGGCTTTGTTGCTGCAGAGTAAACAAAATCCTCTCTCCTCTCCAGCTCTTTCCACTACCAGATCCTTCCTTTCTTTTTCTGGAGATTGCACTTTTTCTTTTTCTAGAGAAGCACGGTTGAAGAGTTCATAATCATAGCCAAGCTAAACACGGGTATGATATCTTTGTCTACATTATTAATTTTTCATTTTCTGGGCATTTGATTCACCCCATCACTCACCACTGCAATATTCTTTCATCTTTTCTTATATGCTGGACTTTGATGTTTTTGCTTTAAAAATGATCGTCATCATCATCATCATCATCATCATCATCATCATCATCATCATCATCATCATCATCAAGGTTTATTGTTCAGTTATCTGATCAGTCGGGATCAATAAAACCGAACTAAAATCAAAGAAACTGATTTTTTCTTCAACAACTGTGATTTCTTTCATATCATCAATTCACTGAAAGCCCTTGGCCTTTTCAGATATACGAATATTTAATTGGCCGACCAATGAAACCTAGTAATCACATATAGTATTTTGCAAAAGGTTTAGATAGGGGAGGATATACATGTAGGAGACACATTAATGGCACTATTATCACTTAAATAAATAACAAAGTAGTATTGAAAAATACAAAAAAAGTCATTGTATAATTTCAAAATTCACTGTATAATAAACAACTCAAACATCATGTCTGTCGTTTGGTAAAGACAGACCTTTTGGATGAATTTAATAATTATCTTTATTGGTAAAATGTCCAATTCACAGCACTTGATTAAAGACATAAAGCACTGTGTTAGGGTCCATCTATGCCGCCTAAATAATGTAAATTTATAGTTCCTCCAATATATTAAAAAGTAATAATAATATTATATAAGTGAATAGGATTATAAAAATTGGAATCCAAAGAACAAGTTTCTCATGTGAAACGACAGAATGGCATTTCCCAATCGTGATTATCTTATGAAAGCATGTGAATTTCACATTAAGCCCCGTCTTAATTTAAAACTGTAAATTAATTAATTATGTTTACGTTTTTTTTACGTGAACTATTAACCACTGGGCCACTGGCATCTGTATTTCTTTTCTTTTCTATATATCTTCAAAAATTTTTTCAATTATATTTATTCTATATTGTGCTGATGTAAGCACAAATTTTGAGTGTCAACTATAGTATAATATAAATATTATTTATACCAATGTATAAATACTATTTATGGTCAGTGAATTACACAATAAATTCATAAAAATTTAATTTTAAATATAAAAAAAATACAAAAGTAGCTCCACATTTAGACAAGAATTGTAATTGGAACCATTAGATCAAAGTCGGATCAGAATTTATGGATATATATATATATATTTATTTATTTATTTATAGAGAGTATTTTATTTGAAGTGAACCCAAAATTTGGATATTCACAATTTCATACTCTTTTAAAAGAAAAGTCAATTTTTTTTCTGGTAAATCTATTTTTTTTAGGTTTAATATCCAAATAAATTCTCAAACTTTATTTCAAAATGTAAATAAATATCGATCTTTTATTGTATGAAATTAACATTATAAATTTTTATTTTATTATAAATTATACTTATTAAATCTTAAAATTGATGAATAATGTCCAATTGATAAAATTTTTAAATAGTATTCACTTATATATTTTTTTCATTTAACTCATCCAAATAAATTTAAGTAAATATTTTTATAAATTAAATCATCCAATTAAAAATTTTAAACAAGAAATTAAATATTTATGCCATCAAGATTCCGACTATAATAAAATAAAATTTTATGACTTTAATTTCATACAATAAAAAATTAAAAACTTTATTTATATTTTAGAGTAGAATTTAAATATTTATTTATTTTTTTTATGTTAGTTCACTTTTTATGACAAAAGTATGGGTCACCGTCTGTGTTTTATTGAATGAAATACAAAGTCAAGTTGGCACAATTGGGGATCATATTTTTTATATACTAGAAAATAAACCCTCACTTCATTGCGAGAATGGATAGGAAATTTAAAATATGTATTTATATAATTTAATACTAAAAAGCATAATTATAAAATATAAAATAATTTATGTGATGAAATATTAAGATATGAATTTTTTTTCAAATATAATTATCAAATATAATTCAATATTAAAAAAAATACATATGAACTTTAATAGAGAAGGTGATTTATGCTATAGGAGTTTTCGTGTCTACTTTGTCATCCAAAGTATCATCACCCAAAGGCCAAAGTATCATCACGGATATAAAACCAGAACTCGTTACGTTTGCATCACCAAGCCTGGTTTGTTATTTGGTAGAAGCTTTTAGATATAAAATGCGACCAAAAGTACCTCACACACCAAAAACTGCTGCAATACACAAAATACCAGCAAACCAAGAAACAATGTTGATTTTAAAGCTTCAGCTGACGTTAGAGAAACTAAATTGGATGCTGGCAAAGAGGCAGTAGGGAGCAGAGGTTGAATATCTGAGGGTAAACTTGGAGAAGATGCGTTTTAAGCAACAGGGAAGGAAGATTTAATAATGTTAATCAGTTAGATTCTTATTACTTGAAAGGATGAAATAATTTTACTTTAAATTTTTTGGGGTTTGAGTGAGGTGGGAAAAGAAGAGAGAAGTAAATGATGTGTGCGAGTTCCAATCTGTCATACTCAGTGCTGTGTTTTGTTTGATTGTTGACTTCTTTAGCTTAATTTTTTTTTTCAATTTTATAACCATTCAGCCACAACTTTTTTTTTTCCCCTCTCTTTTTTCAGCTTCTGGACCCTTCATCTCTCTTTTTTCAACAAAAAAATTAAAAATATTTTATATTATCGAAATTTTAAATTATAATAAAATAAAATTTATTTATATTTAATGAATAAATTTTGAGAACTTATCTAAACTATTAAATATATATATATATTAATAAAATTAATTTAATTGATTAAAATTTTTTTTTAAAAAAAAAAATTTTATATTAAATTTTATCGATGATCATTTTGTAAGAATTGTATTAAATATATTTTGATACATCTTTTTAATTTAAAAAATTAAATATTTTATTTATATCAATTTATTTTTACCGATATATATATATTTAGGTTAGTTCACTTTTTATGACAAAAAGTAGGTGGTCTCCGTCCTTTTTCAGTGAATGAAAATACAAAGACAAGTTGACATAATTGTGGATCATAATTTTTATATATAGGAAAAGAACAAAATGAGGAACTGTACTTCCCCCGGCATCCCATCTGAATTCTTAACATATATGAATGATCAGTGTTTCAGCTATATCAAACAATCGGTTTACAACAAATTAAATACACGGCTAAAGTTTTTGCCATTTGGAACGTTAGGAAATTGAAGTCTCCTCCAATGGAGACCAGACCAGACCAGGTCAGCTGACAATTGGTCCAACTAGGCCCCCATTTTAGACCATTTTTTTGGCCTGCCGCCCCACCCGCCTAACGGCTAATGTCCCCCTTTCCCCGACTTGGCATCATCCCTTCTTGACAAAAAGCTAAACTTTTATTTGTTTTTTTTTTTTAAATTTTCATTTTCTACTTACTTTTTTACATAAATAAATAACAAAAACATGAACTAAACAAAGCTTAAAAGATAACTAAAATTCGACCCTCAACTTTTGCTTATTTTGTGAAAAAATAAATAACTCGTCGATACACTTAACTCACATTTTAACTATTTAGAAAGTGTGAGTGAAATTTAGCTTAAACCATAGCAACTCAAAACTCACAAAATTACACAAAGCCAATATATATATATATATATGTATGTTCATATAGGAGATTAATTCAATAATTATCAACTTTAATTAAAAAAAAAACAAGGAATTTTCATGTGTTACTGAATCATGGGTAGCCACTAATTCCTTAATTAAAGAGTCAAAATCAAGCTTAAGTACAAACTATCAGTGCCGCACCGGCCAATACACTACCGTTATGTTCCCACGCAAAGGAAGTTTCTGCTGACCTTTTCCACCAACTGCTTTCGTCTTTCTATCCACCTCTTTCTATTCCCAAAAGACTTTGGCTTCCATTGTTTTCTTTCTTCTTCTTCTTTGCTCCCTTCATATTCTTTACGTTTTTTTTGAATACACAAGCCATGAAGCAGGGTTCAACGCACCAGCCACAGGTAACTTTTTATTTCTATGAGGCTTCATCCCTCTTTCTTTTTATTGTTTTTGTTTTGGTTTTTGTTTTGTGGGTTTGGTTTATTAATTATGGGATAACTGAGAGAGAACTTGCAGAGAAGTTGGGTTGAAATCTGCTTTTTTGGTTGCTCCTGCCTACAGCTCTTTTGGCCTCAAGTTGTCATGCGGAAATTGCTCAACATCACTCCCAGAGACTCCGATTACGGCGCCGATACTGAGGATGAAGACGACATTGGTTCTGATGCTGAAACCGAAGGTGACCTGCTCCATTTTTCTTCAAACCCCATATCTAATTTGGATTTTCCCCAGTTTTTTAGGAAATTTGAGATTTTTGGTGGTTTTTATGTGCTGTGGAGTTGTTTTTAGGGATTCCTTTTTTGTTCTAATAATACCCTTTTGGGGTTTGAGTCTAAATGTGAAGTGGGGTTTTGCAGAATTCTTTGAATGTGCCAATGGCAGAGAATCAAGGTTTAGAGGGAACAGAGAGGAGGAGCCTCAGCCTGATCTAAATGGTAATGATTTTAATCCCTTAGTAACGTTGACGTTTTTATTTTGCTATATCTTTTGTGTGATCAAGCTAGCTATCTTCTATTTTCTTGACACTTGAGTGGCATCATTTTTCTTTAGTTGTAAAGTTTGGAAATTGAAGTTGCTGTAGAATACATGAGGATCATCTAGTCCAAAAATTTGGGTTGTAGATGCTTGCATTGGGGGTTTGGTGGAGTTCAAAATTCAGTTTTATGATCAGCTGGTCTGTAAAGCAGCCAAATTGAAATGGTAGTGATATTGGGATTGAGATTTTTTTTCAACATAAGATAGTTGATGATTTAGTAGAAAGCTTATTCAATATAATTCGTATCAAGTGAAGAAAATGCAATCATGCCTCGAGTTCAGCCCCTGTCATTGTTTGTATTTGCAGCATCTTTACGTTGGCACTTGTCATTGAGTTCCTTTATAATTAGTTCCTTCCTCCGATAGCTGCTGCTGCACCTAATGGTTGATGAGGCTTGCTAGATTAAGTCAATGGAGTTAGGTGTGAAGGAATTTTTATTTTTTATTTGGCTAGTGGAAAATTGATCAACATGACAAAGTTTTTTATTGATGATTTTCTTTGATTGGCTATAGCTCTCTTCTTGCCTTTCCTTTCAAGATGTGCACTTCTAACAATACTTGAAAGGCAACCGAGGGCCACATAAAATGGAGTTATCTATAGCATCTAACTAAGCCAGTTTTTAAGAGTTAAATTTTTTCAGTTTTACCCCTCATAACTCTAATATTTGCAACCAAATTACCTTTTAAATGCTGTGAAGCTAATTAGTCAGGTACTATTATTTACACTGCGATTTTTAGGAGGGCACTTTTCACCCTCTTGTTAAGTTTTGGGTTAATATTATGAATGACCCATAAACTAGATTTTTAAGGTTCAGATACCAAATTGAACATTTCACTATAGCTCAGTGGTCATTTGTAACTTTAACCCTTAAGTTTTAATCATATATCCCTGCAACCAGAGACTTGACATTTGAATTTTAAATGAAATCTTTTGCAGCTTGTATGAATCTACAATTCAGGGAGTGCAGTGAATTGCTCTTTTTAATTTCTTTACTCTATGCATAGTCAAATTCTTTTTTTTTTTTTTGTCCTCTTTTTGTGCTCAGATGGTCTTCCAAGGTTGAGGAGACGAAAGTCAGAGACTTTTAGGGCACAATACATAAACACAAAGGAAATAAGGTGCAGTGCCTCTCCCTTGTTGCTTTCACGCATAAATCTTAAACTAGTTGCACTATTTTGGTGACTTAAAGGAGTTTAGTTGTTATAGGTTTTGTTGCTGAAACCTTTTTTTGTCCTTTTTAATTAATAGAGTATGTGTTGGTACCTGGAATGTTGGTGGAAAGGTTCCGCCTGATGACCTAGATATTGATGATTGGATAGATATCAATGAGCCTGCTGACATATATGTGCTTGGGTGAGTATATTCCTGACATGAATTTTGAACTTTCTTCAATATCTGGTTGTAATTTGAAGCTGATTTTCTTTGGTTGGCATGCTTTAATCACAAGCAGTATTTACGTGAAAAATTCTTTAGATAACTTTCATGTTTTTATCAGCTTGACCTCAAAACACCTGCAATTGTGCATGTCAATTCAGAATTAGAAGATCTTTCTTTTAGCAATTATCTCTGAATTTGATTTTTTGTTATTTATGTTCATATTTAAATATGATAATTGCTTTATGTTTTTAGTCTTCAGGAGATAATACCATTAAATGCTGGGAATATTTTTGGTGCTGAAGACAGCCGCCCAGTTCCAAAGTGGGAAAACATCATCCGTGAAACACTCAATAGAATTCAATCAACAACTACCAAAGTTAAATGCTATAGTGATCCCCCATCTCCATCAAAGTTTAAGCCATCTGATGATGTTCCAAATTTAGAAGAGGAGATAATTCTTGAAAGTGATAGTGATATCGGTGAAGAAATTTATCCATTGGATGAAGAACCCAATGGTTTTGATGAAGTCAATAATTCAGTTGGAAATAAAAGTGTTTTCACCAATTCTGGGATTTTAGACTGTAATGATGGTGCTAAACTTGATATGCCAATAGAGCAGGATTTACAGAGGCAATATTCTTCTCCAAAGCGGTTAGATAGATTGAATTGCTTGCGGACGGAGGATTTTGCTGAAAATGTAGAAGCCCCTGTCAGTCAACAAAATGGAAAATTTACCAAAATGCTTAGTGGGATTGAACAAAATGGAAAATTAACCAGAATTCTTAGTGGGACTGAAAGGATTGGTTTAAGCTGGCCAGAGCCTCCACTAAACTTGTTATCTCAGCATGTTTTGGACAGACCAAGTTCTTTCAAATCGATCAAATCTTTTCGAGCAACCAAGTCTTTTCAAACATATAGTTCCTTCAAGTCTATAAATGACAGGGCATCAGGGATAGCTTTGCTTGCAGATCTTGACCTCGAATCCCTCATGAAGCGTAAAAGAAGATCATCATATGTAAGAATAGTAAGTAAGCAGATGGTCGGAATTTTCCTTACCATATGGGTTCGTAGGAGTTTGCGCAGGCATGTTCGGAATTTGAAGGTGTCTACTGTTGGTGTTGGCGTAATGGGCTACATTGGTAACAAGGTCTGATCCTTCTAGTAACGTTAGTTTCTTGAATTTTTATCCTTAAATTGAATGTTTGCCTTTTTATTTGTCATATTCGCATTTCCTGGAATAATATAGTTTGTATATTATAGTGCTGTAGCTCATGTATTTTTTAGGTTAGACACTTTACATTTAGGCCTCTTCATAGCTAAGCTCGGGTGTGCCTTGTGTTGAACCTTATGTTGAGAATTAATCATGCAAAATCAGAGATTGAGTAGCGGAAATTTAAAATTTTAGTTCCCAAAAGAATGGATCACACAATGATATTGCTATGCACATTTGGTTCTATCACTTAATGAGAATCAAGAATCATACCTAAAACCTTAATTGGTGTTCGGCTAGGGTTTTTGATCCAAGAATATTCAAGACTTGCTAGCTAGGTTTTAGCAAACCTTTAACCATTAAATTGTCCACCCTCTAATGGTATCCACACAAATAATTAAAGAGAAAATGTCTTGGAGAAGTTAGGATAATCAAAACCGAGACCTAGTGCTAGCTAGGGTTTTACCTCTTAAATGTTTGAGATGAATTCCTTAAATCAATTGTATCATAAGAGGGACGGGAAGGCTTCTTATTTAAAAGGGCAAATTCGATAGCCACTTAATCACAATCCTATTCCAAATAGGATTGTATTTTGCTGACCTCTTGGACTTGTTGATTGTTTTCAATTAAGTCCCTAAAGTTTCAAACTTAATTTCAATCAAGTCCAACTTGATTCTCCCATTTTAATTTCTCAACTTAATTATTCTTAATGCATGTGACCCATTAGGTCCTTAATATGTTGGCAATAAATACGAATGTTGTAGTCCTAGTGTACTTAAGATTAGATTAATCAAACCCCTTTGCTTCATTATAAATTCTCTAATTAATCAATTTCATATTTATAAATCAAGATTGACATCTAGCAATGTATTATGACCACCTAAATATTAAGGAGTCAAGAAGGTTTGATTGACCTATTGTCCATGGTCTTACTGCATAATTCAATCCCTTTATCATTATAATTGACGGAGCTAGAGCATGTTTTGGTATCTACTCTATGTGCCCTGACCATTGTACTTCTTGATTCACCTGAAGCTTTTAACTCTTTAGATGAGTTTTGAACTCCTTCAAAACTTTATTCCACTTTGGTCAAAGATTTTTCGAGTTAACCTCTTCACAAGAACAATGAGATATTCATTCGATCACAAGAACAATGATGAATCCTATCACGGACATTACTCTAACTCCATGTGATACATGCTATGACCAATATCTATCCCATTGAGCATCCTTGGTTAGGACTGTGTATGAGTGGGTGTCAAAGTATAATGCTTGTCATACAAGCTAGATGTTGAACTTTAAGTCAAAAGACAACTTATGCAACCATTACATGAGAATATTGCACTAGACACTTAAGTGATGTACCATTGAATATTCTTATTTTCAGGTCATGTTCTGTAAACTTGTTCTTGTAACATGAATCTATATGTTAAGCACTAATTTATCCATACATCAACTTATGAGATTAGTTGCTTACTTCTTAAAAGCATAAACATATACCGGACTCAAGAGCTTATATGTCAGTATCCATCTTTCTTGATAAAGAGTATCAGCTAGGAACAGTTTAGGAATAATGTTCTCATGCATTAAGGATGTCACAATTACAACTTGTTCACAATTTCCTTTGCCAAACATATTTATTCCATGGACTTATCTTTTATGAACCAAGTAAATAATGAATATAAAAATGCTTGAAGATAAAAAAAATGTCTTATTATGTAAAAATAATGCAAAATATAGCAAATTGTTCTACGTCAATCAGATTGGTCATTGGGCATACATTAACATCTTATGCCTCACAATCCAAGGATTATAACTTCGTCATATGCACTTCTTTTGTAACAAATTGACTACATTTTTGCCGTAAATATTGCTCCCACCTGGCATCAAGTCAGGTGTCACTAAATTCAACTATAATTTTGAGCCTTGACTTGTGAAGACTAATTCTCATTTCATAATGCCGATCATTGGTTTAGAATGTGGCTTTGGATAGCATCTAGAAAATGTGATTTGTAGTGTTTAATCACATATCTCAGTGTCTTTGCAACATAGTGTAGGATTTGTTATTGCCAATTTCAACTTGGACAAGAATGTTGTGCATTCTTTTCCAATGTTTTTAAATTATCTAACTATCCCTGATAAATAGGAAGGATTCAGTAATTTAATATATTTTTTTAAAGGAAGATCAAATCTCATTTTATCAATAGTTTTATAGAGTTCTTTTAAGGCTCATTCTGTAAGTGGCCCTGGTGCTGTGAGAAGGCCCTGGTGCAGTGAGGATGAATCCCCAGGGTCCCAGGACCACTCACTGAACGGGACCTTAGTGAGGGATGGGTAACGCTACAACTGGGTATGCAGGACAGCCCTTGCGCACTTGAGTTGTTTTGGTAGTTGATGGAACTGAAGGAGTGGCGGAAGATAAGGCACATTAGAAGTATGTACACTTGAAAGAAGGTGATCAAGATATGGTCATTGAGGGAGTGTGGAAGGTAGTAACATGAGAGGTGATTTGATGGAATAAGGCTAGAACTAGTGTGAGAAATTCTAGGTGGTGAAGTTGTGATTCTCTTCTAAATGATGTTAGGCCATATGCTATTGGCTAAGGGGGTTTATTTAATGTAGCCAATGAGGTGGTGATGATTTTTTAGTGATAAGGAATGGGGTATAAAATAGGATGACTCGTTGTTACATCTAGCCTTTTCATAAGTGATGTAGGTGATTCTATGGGTCAACAAATGACTCATGATGGTAGGTACGCAGATACTCCAAAGGGGTCAATTCAAGAACCCATTAAGCAGTCTCAGATTGAAGCCCACCAAACCAAAAATGCACTATGACATTGCAAAGATCTGAGAGCATTGCAAGTCCTGCCACCGATCCCAGGTTTACTCCAATCAAATAGCTAGTCTCTACTTTACCTAGTGATATTTGCGGTCCATGGTGTACCTGCAACAAGTAGCTAAAAGACGTGTTCAAGAGTGAGATAGTATGATTACAATAAACCCAAACCATGCATCTACAATAATCATGTTGACTTTTTGCTTCCCATGTCTTGTAACATTGAGTTCTGCTTATGGGTGGTAATCTTTGAAGCAATTTATTAGATCCAGTGCTACTACATTCTTTTATCAAAATTTTAAGCTGCTGATCATATTTGTTATTCAACTCTGCTGTCTTTAGCTAATATTATGGCCATTCATTTTTCTTCCAGGGATCTATATCAGTCAGCATGTCCATATATCAAACATTTTTTTGTTTTATATGCAGTCACCTGACATCAGGTGAAAAAGATGGAGATGAACTTAAAAGAAATGCTGATGTGCAAGAAATACTTAGGCGAACTCATTTTCATTCTCTTTCTGCAATTGAACTTCCCAGAAGTATTCATGATCATGAGTGAGTACACTTTAATATCTACTTGTGGTGTGAATTAGTCATTATTGACTCATCTATCATTCTAGTTGTTGTGATTGTTACATTCTGACTATTTGTAATATATTATGAGAAGTTCCTCCAAGTTTCATGGAATATAGGAACCTGGAAAGAAAAAGAAATAAACACTCTTGTTTTATTACTTGCTCCATGACCATGCAAGCTGGCATCTAAATAAACTAGGGTTCCATTTGTAATTTGATTGTTATGTTTACTATTTGTTTTTACTTTTGGAACTAAAAATCAAAAAGTGCATTTGGATGCAAAAGCAAACAGTGTTTTTTAAAAAAATTTAAACTATATCTTTTTGGATAAAAAACCGCTTGATTTTACTTTTATACATTAAACAGACATGTTAAAATTGATGTATTTTAGTCATTTCAATCAATTGTGATCTTGATTTTTACCATTTCCTTTGCTTCGTAGTAACTTTTGAGGAAACAAAAAGCAAGGAATAAAAATAACAACCAAATGGAACCTAAAAGTGTGCATGTGCATGAGATTTTGATCCAGAAAGCACATTTACAGGGAAGATAGACAGATTGATTAATAAATAGGTGTAAATAAAGCATATCTCAAATATTTTTGCACCATTGATACTGTTAAACTCATTCATTTAGATGAGGGCTAGTTTATGAAAATAAATTATGTTGAAACCAAATCATTCATAGCAGTGGAATCAATTGATTTTTTTTCCAAGTGAAAGGGATGCTTATGCTGTTGAATAATGTAGTCTTTATTGCATATTAAGACTTGAAGTAGTACTATATCAAAGGAAACATGTTTTATAATTTTAAATGTAATGATGCAGAATTTGGCCCCCATATACAAGGAGTAATTGGATTTTAGTGCCTATAAACAGCACTCCTGGGGGACATTCTTAATGTACCTACCAAAAAGTTATATATTTTATGCTTATTTTTGTTTATTTAATGAAATGTTATGCTTGTTCAAAAATTGGAAAATGCCAAGCATTCTTTGGATATGTACACTTATATTACTCATCTATCATTGACCCGATTATATAACAGAGATATTTTTTTTCGTGCAGAAGAATAATTTGGTTGGGTGATCTAAATTACCGATTAAACCTGTTGTATCACAAAACACTTGATCTCATCTCCAAGATGGAGTGGTCCAAGTTGATTGAGGAAGACCAGGTAGCTTAGTAGCCCTACACAAAGTCTAGATCATTGCAGTTTTCTAGTCAAATATGAACTTGAAGGCTGTTGATAGGATGGTAGTTTAGCTATTAAGTGTATTATCTTGTCATGATAGCTTGTACGAGAGCTGCGGAAAGGTCGTACATTTGATGGATGGGCTGAGGGCGCTTTAAATTTTGCACCAACATACAAATATGAGTTAAATTCAGAGAAATACTATGGAGAAGATCCCAAGGTTGGGAGGCGAACCCCTGCTTGGTATGTTTAAAGAAGATTAAATGATCTATCCTTTGTTGTTTGTTTGTCTTGTGAATTTTTCTAATACACCTCATCTTTCAGGTGTGACCGCATCCTTTCGCATGGTAAAGGAATGAGGCAACTAAGTTATAGGAGGACTGAGCTTAAACTTTCTGATCATCGCCCTGTTACTGCAATATATGTGGCTGAGGTTGAGGTATTTTGTCCATGGAAACTACAGCGAGCTCTCACCTATACCAATGCTGAAATTGAAAACGAGGAAGTTGTTGAATACTGATGTTGGAACAAGTCCCCTCGTTGGATCAGGTGAGTGGTTTGCTATGTTTATAAATGGTAGGTAGGTTCTTTCTACCAGAAGGTATTATAAATGGTGATGATGCATACTAGGGAAATAATGTAATGCTTGCTACAGAGTTATTAGTTTAATGATGTCGGGTGAGAGGGGGAACAGTTGAAGTTGGCAAGATCCTATAGGAATAAGGTAAGGAAACAAGATTAAACATAGTTAGAGAGAAGCAGTCTATGTTGCGTTAGTGAGAATCTGTTTCTGAAAGAGGCATTGATTGGTATATATTGGTTTAATGGTGGTTAATATTTCCATTGAGAATTTGAACCTCATTAATGTGATACACTTAGTGGTTGCAGAACATCTTGTATCATTCGATGTATCAAGGATGATACACGAAGGCAATTGGATTTCTTTTTTTTTTGAAGTAGAAGAAATTGATGCTAAATAAAGGACCCCAGTGCCAGATCTGTGTTTCATCCAACATCTGTCACCATAGGAAAATGTTTCCCTATTTACATATCATGAATGAAATTCCATTCTGACTGGATAAGATAGATGGCAGATTGTAACATGGAGATTTAGGTGATTTCTACGAGGGAAAGGTTTTTTAGAACAAATCTTTTTCCTGATCTTTACCACAACCCCTCGTACCACAAACTTGGAACTGAAACCAAACATATGAAATGGGTTTGAAGGGCACGGCCATTTTACATATCATCCTGTTATTCATTTTTCTTTTTTTTTGGCTTTACCATCATCATTGTATTGAAACCTCGTAAGTCTTCGGTCAAGTGTCTCTTACAGCAGTCATTGCCGATTTACTTGTCTATATGGAGTCCGATACTTGGAAAATATCTATTGATTAAACTTAAAGTTACATATGCTTATTTATTCCTCCAAATAAAAGGCTTGCTTTCTGATGCAGGATAGGTTTGCCGTTTGCTGGGAGATCATCAAGGAAAACAAATCTATGCCTGCACCTTTGAGCCTGGGGGTGAGAGCTCCTATAACTCTTGATATTAGCTACACCTTGGATTCGTTCATTTCAAATTTTTTTTTTTTACTTTGTTAAGATAATGTATATTGTAATCATTGTATAAATGCATAAACGCTAGGGGTTTCACAAATAGGTTCTAGAACAATGCAGATACATTTACAGTTGAGTTTGCATGTATTCATACAGCTTTGGCATAAAGTTTATCAATATGCCCTTCTACCAGCAGCTTTTTCTAGCTGATGATGTAAAGATATAGTCAATGCATGTTTTTTGGTGGTGGAGTTGCTATCTTTTGGCTGTCCAAAACTACATTCTTCTGTAATATTTGCAGGTGCTATGAACTGCTATTTGTCTATCTACGTTATCTCCTCCCTCTCTCTCTGCTTTTGGGTGTCTGTAAATGTGATCACTGATGACATGAATCCTGAGTTCTTTCACACCAAAAGAGCCACTTACAGATATTACTTAACATACGTATATTTACAATTCTCTATAACTGGATGAGGCTCAACTTCCTATGTTTGGTGGTATTTCTATAGCTCGAATATAGAGCAAAATTCTGCGAGTTACATTAAAGAAAATAAATAGGCTAGCTTGGCATAAAAGTAAAACCATATGGCCTGTATACATCTCTAAACGAGATACATGGTTACCTTAGCCATTAGATGTTTCTTTATTCTGCCGTCTATATCATGCCATGACTAAAACTTTCCTAAGCTTCCTAGGCTTTATAAGATATAAGATCTAACTGCAAATGCAGGTGGAAAAATTCCAGCTTGATAGTATAATACCATTTATCATTTCATATACTTTCTTTGGTTGGCAAATGGAACGATGAAGGATTCATTATGCTTCATTTTAAAAGGCCTTGAATCATGGTAGTTACTATATTTTGAAAGGCTACTATGTAACTTCAATTCAAAGTTGTAAGTTGTTCATTCCTTTTAATGTGGCAGGACTCAGACTCCTTTTTCATGTCTATGTCTATGAATGAATAGGGAAGTGCACACAAAAGCATATTATTATTATATAGAGTTCAATAAATAAAAAGTTCAAGCTGAAATGCATAATATAATCATTGTCTCACTTTGAGAATTTATGAAAAAAAAAAAAAAAGGAAGCTCCTTTTGGTCTTCCAGCCTCTTTTCTTATAGGCTTCAATTTTTCAGGAACTTTGACCCAAAATAATATGAGAGAGAGACAGAGAGACAGAGAACATGCAGATATCAAAATGAAGCAAATGTAGCATCTGGGATACGGAGGAATGGTCATCCAATGATGTATAGTTAGGTATGAGACTAAACTATCCAGGTTAGGCCCTGAAATGAACAAAAATGTTATATTCTAAAAGAATGAGAATCAAAGTGTTGTTCTCTTACTCATGTCTCATGGGATTAGATTGGGATTAAAGCAGCAAAGAACATATGCAGGAGATTAAATGACTGACAAAGAACTAGAGCAAGCCTTTTGAATACCATACATACCACATGGAAACTAAAGATGGCTCCTTGTAATATTACCTCCAAACTTCAAAATGTCATTACATCAGACGTCAGCAATGGAATACCTCCAAGAGAGTTGAAATGTACTGAGAACATGAAATGAAACTGGGAAAGGGCAATTACATCCTATTGAGGAAAAAGAAAAAGAGAAAATATGTTCACCATAAAGGCAATTTAAAACAAGATGGGTTAATAAAAAGCATAAGAGACTTGCAGACAGTGAGTTGCATCTGAACTTAGACACTGTAAGTTACACCTGAAGTCTGTTAAAAGAACTGTTTCTTCCCTCTGACCAGGTCAGTTTCTCATCAGTGTTCCTTTCATATCAGAAAGTGAACTCCTAAAATATCTAATAAAGCCTCATTCTCGATAAACTTGGTCAGTAAGCCAATGATACTTTATATTGAATCAGTTAAACCTGGTCAGTAAGCTGCTTCTTCATTTTCTTCTTTAAAGCCTTTTCAAAGTCACGACTTGACAATGATAAAACCTGATTCAGAAGTAATTTCACCCCAGATTCCTTTACAACTGCAAATCGTGGTTTAATCCTCTTCTCCAAGCTGTAGCCAAAATATTGAGGGAATTTAACCAGCTCTGACTTTGAATAATCCATGGTTAAAAAGAATTCCCATTTGGGTATCAAGTTATCTACCAAGCTAAAAGTATATAATGCTCCATACCTTGAAATCATAGTCCCAACTTCATCCACGGTATATCCTTTATCAAGAAAAAATTCTGTCACAGGTTTCAAACTTGCCTCAATGCTAAGGCCAAACGCCTGTGGACATCGAAGTAGAAGAAGAGAAACATCAGCACCCAATGACCGGAAGTACTTAGCTGTAGGCCGTAGCTTGTCCTCCACACTATAACTTATTATGGTTGGACAGCGTGTTAAAATCTTACCAACATTCTCAGATGAAAGGCCCATTTCATAGAGGAAATCTACAGTTGTCTTAACCTTCTGCCTGCTATAAGTGAGAAGTGCAGGAAACCGGTATATAACTTTTGCCCACTGTTTCTTGTCCACACCCAAATTTTCTAAGAATGTCATAGTGGGTATGAGATTTTCAGAGAGACTAATTCCAAACAGTTGAGGCCTTTTACCAATAATGATGGGAATGTCAGACTTTGGTACACCAAGTCCAAGAAGGAACTGAACGACAGGTTTGATTTTTCGCTCCAGACTGTAGTAGGCAAAAGATGGGAATCTGCGTGTAATTAACTTGATCTTCTCCAGATCCATGCCAAGCTCCATGAGGTAGACAACTTGGGGAAGGAGCTTCCCTGCTGGATTTGTCTCACTAACACGAGCGACAGCTTTTAACTTCTTGGAACCAAGGGCTGCATCTAAAGGAGATACCTGTGTTACAGGTTTATCTTTAACTGGTGGGTCAGGAAAATTTTCAACCACATCTGCCAGAATTCTTCCATGCTCTTCAAGCAGAGATTCAAGATAAGGGATAAGAGCATCCCTGATCTCAAGAGTTGTGAGCTCTCGTCCTGCAATGTCAAGTAGAATTTCATCAGCAGTTTAACCAATTAGAATTGACAATAGTGATACTATTGGTGAAGCAGACAGCAAAACATTGCACTCGAACCTACGAGATACCGAGATTTATAAACAGAATGAAGCCTTGACACAAGGTGGTCAATAAAAAGGTCTGATTTGTTGATGATTCTTGCAGCAACTGCATTGCTCAGATCCTGCTTCTTCAAGAATAAGGTTAACACAGCCTTAGCTTCTTCCTTTTCTGCTGCTATCAGGGTTGAAGGCACCACTCTTGAACTAAAAGATCCATCTACTTCAGAATCAGCTGTCATTATATGAAAGTCGGCATTAGTTTCACATAGAGAAAGGGAAGTGGCAAAGTATGTAACATCTTTTAGTTGGTGTTGGCACATACTCAAAAGACATTGCTTACCAAACTTTGCTTTGCTGAAGAAGAGTTTCTCAGAGAAAGGAAGTTGAGTCCTGTAAGAAAATAAAGTAAATTTTCTCTTTAGCATACTGTCCCTTCCAAGCAATCAAAATGCAATTTAGTCGTGCATTCTGGAGGCATCACAAATTCATTACAGAATCAGTCATTGTATCTTAGGAACAGTTCTTTCCATTTGAGATAATTTTTCTAGTAAAGAACACTCAGATTTTCATTTCTCAAATTATCTCATCTATAGCCCCATCCTGTGGAGTTATTTTTTAATCACTTGCTACAGCTCTAAGGTTTCTGCATTAACTGGAACAAGAAATCTCTGCTCCATGTTCTCATACCTCACTAAGTGCCCAACTCTAACATATGAACCACCTATTCAATCTCAAACCAAAAATCAAATCAAACATTTGATCAAGAAAATACGCTTACAACAACCAAATGTCAATTTGAGTGAAACCCAATACCCCATAAGTGCCTACGATTGCTTCTCCTCTCTCCTCACCTTCAATTAATCCATCTCTTCTCGTCAGCACCGACTTACTCACAAGGGCAAAGATCTTCTCCACTACTTAAAAAGTAGTGAAAGTTTCAGACTATTATATCCAAAGGTAAATAAAGCACTTCCAACTAAATCTATTGTTGAAATCTTTTAAATTGAATATAAAAATAAATAAAAATTAATTAAAAAGGTAAATGATTTATAGATACATTAACCATAGATTTAATTGAAAGTGCACTTATCACCCTTAGACAAAGTACCGAAAACTTCCGCTATTTTTTAATTAGTGGAGAGGATGCTCTCCCTACTCACAAAGATACAATACTTACAGGGTGAAAAGTTCTAAACATTCAATATATGCACTCTTCCAATCACCTTGTTCTGGTCACACACATCCAGTTACCAAATTTCATTAGGCATGTCACCTAAATACATACTCATGAGTGACATTAGGAATTTAAGCTAAACAAAAGGACAAGTCAACAATTCATCTTTCTCCACAAAATAAAAAATATCGAACTAAATAAGTGTAAAAAAAAAAAAAAAGCTGATTTTCACACAATATTAAAAACCCAAAAGCCTTCCTAAGTTTCAATAACAAAGACACACAAAGTTCACATTTCCTACTCATTTGCTTCCGGTAAAGCAAAACCCATATGATATTTCTTTCATGGTTCCCTTTATTAACAATTTATTCCTCTCATATTATAGCTTGTTTCTTAAAAAGCATCTAACTTCTTGATACCCTTATGTCCAACAATACAAATAAAAAAAAAAAGTAGGAAAAAAAAGAATTTACTTCGCTTTATTATCCAGTAAAGTATGAAAGGAAATCCTGGAGAGTGTCAAAAGAATATTGAAACAGTGAAGAGAAGGAAGAGGTAAAGCACGCACCTGGTAACGGGAAAGGGTCCTCTTGAAAGAGAAGAGAGGCTCAATGATGGCCGGATTGCATAAAAAGCTCCCATTTTTAGCATTCTAGAATATAAATTTTGTATGCCTTTTTTTTTTTTAAAGGATGTAAAGAGATATAAAAGGACAAAGATGTCGGCCCGATCTTTGTTTAAACGTATAATATTTTGGGAAAATAAATTTTTAAATCATATTGAGTTAATAAACGATGTCGTTTTACTCGCTTTTTATTCTTTTGATTTGCACCACCCGTGTCCTTAGGCACAAAAAGTAGATTTGTTTTTTTTTTTTTTTCTTACATGAAAATCTGATTTAATAATTTTAAACATAATCACGTGGAAATAATATGAAATTATATAAAAATAATATAATTATAAAATTTTAACAAAGTTATATATAAGTTTAATAAAAATAAAAAAATATATCTTATATTTGTATAAAAATAAATTATAATACGATAATTTTTATATTTTATATAAAATTAAGTGTTGTTAATTAATAAACAACATGAAAAAAAAATGTAATAGAGATAATGATGTTTTGATAAATGTGTAGTAAGATTAAAAGAAATAAAATAAAAAACAGAAAGATTAAAAAAAAATTAAAAATAATTCGAATTGAAGAAAAAAAAAAAGATTGTTTGTGATGATTTAAATATGTGAAACATAAATCTAATTATATATCGATTAAAAAAATTAAATCTTTAAAGTTAAGAGAAATTAAAACATATAGAGATAAAGCACAAAAAATATGAATGAAAATAATAAAAAATAAATGATGATTAAAAAATTTAATAAAAATATAATTATTAATAAAAATGAGTAGAATAAGAATATTCAAACATAACCTAATTTAATTCACTTATTTAATTTTTTATATGTTCGACTCCAAAATATGAGATATAAAATTTAATATATGATTATTTTACTATATTTAATATGAAATAAATATGATACACATATACAAATTATTAACCGGTCGGTTGATTGAATTGTTATTTCATTTGTCTTAACAAAATATTTCTTTTTATACTTTAGAGGACGGGGATTGTGAAACCTGTGAATAACTAACACAACGAAAAATAAACATGAAGGGAGAGAGAGAACGAAGGAAATGAAATGAAAGTGAGGCTATAAACTAAAGGCTAAAGAGACATGGTGCTTAATGCACAAATATTAGACAAAAATATCCCATTAGAAGATGAAGCTGAGCGTAGTTACTCCAAAAAAAAAGCCAAAACTAGAAATCATCATATATGAATGAATTCTTGGATAGATTCCACTAGCTCTCTTGACAAGTTTAGCTCAGCAAACCAAAAATACCCAGACAGGAAAGCGAATTGCTCTTCATTACACCTTATAGTGCTGAATTTGCTTCTTTTAATGGGATCACTCATAGTCTCCAAAAATAGTGCCACACATCAAGAACGCCACAGGTTCAATGGTTCTCCAATGATCCATTAAATAACCCTGACAGTTGAAGCAAAAAGCTACACATCCTTGTATAACAACTGATATTTTGGTATTCGCTCTGGAGGAAGGGGGCAATTAAGAATCAGCTTGCCTTTCATGGCTCCCCGAAATATTGCCTGAAAAGTTGGGGATCAAAGATTAATTCAAAGCAGCAATGTAAATATAAATGCCCAAGTTTAATCATCATGAACAAAATTAAAATACTATCGGTATCTTGTAGGGAAACAGGTAAAAAGTCTTAATTGTCACGTTTGTAACAAACAAATCTTGACAAAAGATACCAATAAAAGTAAAAAGAAAATGAATATGCACAGAGAAGTGGTATTTTTCTCTGCTGTCAAATGTAGGATGGCTGCTTCTTGAGCTTTGGTTTTATTAATCCTCCCAATTGATGCACATATTTTCATGAATTCTCATCCCATCTTGTAATAGAATTAAAGCTGGAAATTTCTAATTTCAGAAAACTCTTATAGAAGCAGGGTAACAATTTCTGTTAGGCTACAATAAACAAAGTAGCTTATGTGATAAAAAAAAAAAAAAACCGACAGCAGCTTATAAAATAATTTGCAGCTGCTGGACCATGCTGCTGGTTCATAACAAATTATGAGGCATCATTTTTGCATTAGCAATTTAGTACAAAGGAATGACAAAAACGGTAACAATTAGATGAATAAACCGCATCACTCAAGTGTCATGGATCATCAAAAATTAGATAACATACCTCCACAACATCTATGAAGTCCTGCTTCTCATGAAATGCACCCACCCATTTAGTGTGATCAGCAGTCCTGATTCACAGGTAAACCATTTACACATAGCATAAGAAACCTAGTATCTGAACTGAAGTCTCAGTTCAAACCCGATATCTGAACTGAAGAATTTTAATACTTAATCATTGCAAACATTTTCTACTTGAAAACAAGAAATATCACAAGAACTTTACATGGATGACCGAAGACTAAGTACTCCCCAATTAAAGGGTGAGGCTAGCTATGCAATTACTTCTAGCAAAGACCAACAGGACCCATATCTTTAGAGTTTAGAGTATCGACACAAATTCCATTGATTTTAGGATTATTATGCGGCATAAGCTATGGATCTCGTTGGTTATTGCTATTTGTTTTGAGATTTTACAAACTTTCAAAAAAGCCAAAGCAAATATTAATAACAAAAGGTTATATGTGATTGAAAATGAATAAACGACTTAAATATCATAGACATTTCAACATAATTGTTTCATATAAAAGTAGCATTGAAGTCAGAGCTTAGCTTAGTTGGTCTACGGAGTCATCCTTAAATGTCGTAATTGGTGGCATCAGCAGGTTCACCAGCAACCCTCTCTCTATCCCCTGTCCTCCTTTCACCCAAAGATATAGCATTATGTATTTTATTATTAAAAATGTTACATTTTTATTTTTAATAATTCTTCAAAAAATATTATCTGCTTTCATATATCCAAATGTACATTTTCTTCTTTCTTCTGAAAAAAAAAAAAAGCAAATAACAAAGCAATATTCAAACAGTAAAAAAAAAGGAATTTTATTCAGAGTATGAATTTCAATCAAGCCTTAATTCTTTATAATTTTCTCCAAAACGAATTAATCAGCTAAGCAACTAAAATTGTTAGATAACACACACAGATACAAATCACTATAATTCAATTAAATTCAATTTCTTCAACCAAATTAAATTAACAAAAGGGCAAAGAAATAAAATGAGGTTTTAAAAGAAAAGAAAAGAAAAGATACCCAGAATCCATCTTCATATGATGAGCATTGAAGAAGAAAACAGTGGAAGGAATCAAAGTGATGTCGAAATACTTGACGTAAACCTGAACATCCTCGGAATCTACGTCGACTAAAGCCACCGCGCCGAATTTGGAAAGCTCACGCGCTGTCTTGGCAAGGATGTCGTCGAGTTGAAGACAGACGGCGTCCACGGCGAGTCCGAAGCGGAGGACGAGGACTTTGTCGATGGTGTCTCTAACGATCGTATCCACTTCTTTCTTCCGAGTCAGCGTCGGCAATAGGTAGCTCATTTTCCTCTCTCTAATTGCCTACGATTGCGTATCTCAATCCGTATGGGATTCGGCTGCTGTCCATGTTAGCTTTCAAGGGAAATTCTAAATAAACCCAAAAAATATACTTTTTAACTCTCTATTTCTAAAAATACCCCGTATTCAAATATATCATTTATCTTTTTACTCATTATTAGATGTGATATCAGTTTGGATGAATCGAATTGAGTTTAATTCTTTGAATAATATATAAAATTATGAAAATTTAAAATTAGATTTGAATTTGAATTAAATTTTTATACGATAAGATATAATTTGAATTGAATTGTATTTATTTGATTTATTGATTTTTAATTTTTAATTTTTTTATATATCTTTTAATATGATTTTTAATATATTTAAATAGATTTACGTATAAAATAATGTTTATTTTACAAAAATTTTACAAATATATAAAAGTTAATAAAAATATATAATTCGATTTGATTCATTTTTTTAGATTTTTTACATTTTGATATAAAAATTCGATCCAAACTTAATATATATATATATATATATAATATTTGAACTTAATCCGAATTGAATAAAAAAAAATTTGATTTGATTTGAATTGAATACTACGATTTCAAATTGTTTTCTTTTTCTCATTCTTACTTACTAAACCTTACATCCTAAATTCAATTTTTCATAAACATTTTCATACATCATCTTCTCATCCCTTATGTCACGGGTCAAAACTTAAGCTCCGAACCCGCACGACTTCGAGACCCGGGCATCCACTCATCCGACGTCCCAGATCAACTTACCTACCATGGTTCACACCCTTGTGAGGTATTGTCTGCTCTGACCCCTTGATCTCACGATTTTATCCTACAAAAAGCGACTCACTAGAAAAAAGTTGTATGAACCCTTTTATACCACAGTGATCCTTCTATTATGTTTGATGTGGGATTCAAGACTCTTTCTTAGGTCCATGACACTTACGCCTTTCCAATTCTCTTTTGTCAAACTCAAGTTTTCTTTAAAAAACCAACAACCTAAAATCACAAAAGTTCAACATAAATCAAGTCATAAAGCTTCTAAGTAAAGGTAATTTGGTTGTTTTTGTTTTAATTTCCTTTGATTTCGATTGTTTAATTTCAAAAATTTTAGATGAAATCGATGCTCCAATTCTTAGCTTTTGAAAAAACATTTTTAAAAATTTTTAAAACTTTGAAAATACATTTCTAAAACTTTGAAAAGCTTTTGGATATTCATTTTCGAAAAATTTTAAAGATTTCTATAAATGCATATCTAAAAACTTTTGAAGGTTTCAAAAAATACTTGTTTAGAATCCTTTAAGAATTTTTGAAAATGCATGTTTAGAATCTTTCAAGAGTTTTCAAAAATGAGTCTTCAAAAATCTTTAAAAGTTTTTGAAAATGCATCTCCAAACCCTTTAAAAAATTTCAAAACTCCATATCCAAAAACTTAGAAATCTGACAATAAGTTTCATATTCAATATTAGTACCGTTATTAATATCATGTACACATTAAACCTTGTATATTTGCTTGGAGAGATAATGTCTTGACTATATATATATATATATATAAACAAAATGGCATAAACAAGAGGTGCTATCATTGGTTAATGTAATGGGCGTGTTGCAATTAATATTGGGAAAAAGTTTGACTGTCTCTTATAAGAGACGATGAGTTGGTGCACATGTAGATGAACCAGTTGTTGATACCTCAAATCATCACATTATTGAGGGTGATAGACCTTTCACGTAGCAGCTAGATGTTTATCCCAAAATCGGTTGTTCATCCCCAAAGCCATTTCCTAAAAGGCTAATGGATACTTCTCTACTTTAAAGCTTCAACACTTATGTTGTAGTATAAATATGAAATGACCAGGTAATAAATTCAATAAGGCTAATGCTTATTTTTGTTAGTTAATGTATATAAAGTTAATAATTAATTTTGATTTGTTGTTGTTATTATAGAAGCGAGGTACCTTAAAAATGATCAACCATGGGGTAAAGTTATAGTAATGGCTTATAGATGCTTATCGACAAACATATTCATGTGAACTTTGTTCAGTCAAGATTGTTGCCATTAATTGATTACACCTATCGTTTGTCCAACAATATAATAGTTTTAGTATTCGTTAAAAGGTGGAAGCTTGAGACAAACACTTTTCACCTATCATTTGGGGATATGATGATCATGTTGGATGATGTTTACATAAATTTTCACATATTCGTAAGGGGAGCAATGATATCAATTAAGAAGTTGATGACAAATAAGGCGAACATGTTATTGGTGAGGATGCTTGAACTATCAGTGGTTGAGGTAACCAATGAGACTAGAATTTATTATGCTGTATTTCTTAGGCTATAATGGCTATAGGATACATTTAAAGGTGTTACTAATAGAGATTTTGATTGAGATATCAAGTATGCTACCAAAGTTTTCTCAATCCATCTTTTAAGGTGTACGTTATTATTGCAATAATGGAGATAAGTATCAGTAGTGTACTTACATCTATTGAACGACTTAACCACCAGCGATACATATGCTTGAAGGGCAACTTACTTGACGTATTTATATAGGCAGCTTGATATAGCAAGTAAAGTTTAAGGTCATTAGATTGTTGGTTATATTACACTTCTTCAAGTATGTATATTATACTAGTTAAATGATTTGTAATTGATGATATATGCATGGATTTGATTAAAAATATATATAATTAATGATGTTTAATATAATTGATGTATGCATGAATTTATGAATACTTTTTGACTCTAGGTCTAATAGCCAACATGAAATATTCTGATTATAAGCCTTATGCTTGGTGATTGAAGTCCTATATGTGTATTGATCCATTGCAGCAATTAGGGAACAACTAGATGCCTTACCCTTAGCTCAGGTGTGTTGGAGCCGTTATAAGACTTAACGACAACATCACTCATTACCTGATATTGTATGCTTTTCTGGGTGTATGTTGTATGGGTCTATCGTAGAGCCATATCATTCAAAGAGAATTTTATAACAGTTTAATTACGTATAAACCATTCATCTAATCCTTTGGCTCTATGTCATGCCAACTGATGTGCATCTTCCAACACATATTATGTTGCAAACAAATTTATGCATTAGTTTTGGGAGTGATGGGATATGCATGTTCTCCCTGTCGATCATCAAATATATCGACATGCTACATAGAACGAGTCTTCACTGGATTATGATGCTTGGTATGCATCAATTTTTTATTGGCACATTTAAAATATATTGTATAGATTTAGATTTCAGTCTCAACCGATCTCTAGTAGGCTTACTAGGTATATAATAAGTCATAACTCTAGTAGTTATTCCTTATACAATATTAATTACATGTTATGGATATTGATTTCCTTGTTAATATTTTATAGCTAAGCTCAATGGCATTGTCTGATTTTAAGAGTGCTATTTCTAGTAGATTATATCTAGGAGAGGATGTAGGGAGAGATTTTTTGAAATTACTTAACAATACCGAATATGTATATCTAGTAACAACAAAATCTTTATGAAAAATTCATTTTTGAAAACATTAAAAGATTTTCAGTTACATATAAAGATTTTCGAAAATGAATTTTCAAATAGTTACGCTTATGTTCTGGAAACATATTTTTTGAATATACGAATTTATGGTTAAAATTAGCTTACCCGATTATCTGGTCCAAAATCTTCATTGCTGCAAATGTTTTCTCAAGTTTAATTTTTCATTTTGACAATGTACAAGATAATACAAATACTTTTACAGATTTTGAGTAGATTTACGATTTGATATTAAAGGTTGTTAAAAAAAAAGATGAAAAAAGAAAAAAGGGATAATTGAGAAAGGATCATGATGAATGATGTATGTAGGACAAAAGTATAAATCATTAATGGTATTTGAGTAATTTAATTTAAGGTAAATATGTAATAAAGATATTGAGTGTATAAAGCATAAATAGAGGTGTGAATAGAACCATCGAGCTTTCGAATGGAGAAACTTGTTAATAGTTCTAATCACGCCACCTCAATTAAAAATAAAATTTAATATTTGATGTAGTGTCAATATAAAATTTTAATTAGACAAACAAATTTAAGAAGGTAACTTATGTCCCATTTTTTTTAATTAGATTTTAAAAAAAATATATATTTAAGGGACATGTGTCACCTTCTTAAATATGCTTGTATAATTAAAATTTTATATTAATAATATATCAAATATTAACTCTAAAAATAAATCAACATCTATAATGTAGCCGCATCATCTTTATTAGCATAAACACCATGCATTCTTAATCTTTTTTAATCTATGTATTAACTCAAAACTATCTTCAAAATGTTTCATTAGTGCTTGTCCATCATTATATACTTTAATTAAAATTAAATATTTTAAAATATAAATAATAAAAATTTTAAAATATATAAAATTAAAAAACAAAAAAAAAAAATTTGCAAATTTTCTTTATAAATCAAAGACATGGATTTGCAATATGTATTTTTTTAATATTGAATCTATACCTCCCATTTTTACCACCATCAAGCACCGCAAGTATGCAACACTTACCTAAACAATCAATTCAAAACCCAACCACCATCGAAGAAAGGCAAATCGAAACTTACTACTAAACCAAAAAAAAAAAAACACAAAAAAAACAACTAGCATCATTTCCCAATAGGGGAAGCCATAAAAAAAAGTATTAGCAAAATAACCATAAGCAAGAAATAACAAAATAGATAGGAGAGTTTCAGTTTTAGAGAGATTTAAGAGGTTTCGAAGTTTGAAAATTATGAGAAATTAAGGCTAAAGGCTAAGGATAAACATAGTAGGAGATAAGGCTATTTGGAGCAATAGATGTTAAGTGTTTCGGGATTTTTAGGTCGTGACTTGAGTTGTAGATCTAGGCTTGTAAGGATAGATTTTGGAAAAACTGAGCTAAGAACAGTAATGAGATTGTTGACGGCCTGGGGAGAAATTTTGAGATTGAAAGAGCTCTAAAGTCGATGATGGACAATATGATAGTTTTCAACGATTAAAAATCACCTAGACAGATAAGCTCTAGAGAAGGAAAAGAAGAAAATGAAAAAAAAAGCGTTTGAAAATGAGAGAAGAAAATTTTCAATAAAATGAAATAAGAAAAAAAATAAAATATAAACATTTTCAAAATTAAAAAATTTTAAACAAAAAGATTGTTTTGCATAATGTACAGTGCACAGGCATTAATATATATATATATATAATTAGATTTTGAATAGTAGATATGTTGATAACATTAAATATATTAAATATTAAGATTTTGTTTAATTATTTATTTTATTTTATATATTAAAAATAATTTATTTTTATTAAATATTTTTTAATAAATTAATTTAAATAAAAAAAGCAAAATAATAAATGTTATCGAATTAATTTCAACATTTTTGTAATAAATTTATTTTAAAAAATCTTTTATAAGTAACATGATAAGAACAAAAGTCATAAAAATTCATTATATTAATTTTATTTTTTTCTCAAATTCTAAGAATTAATTATTTTACATAATTTAAGTAAATGATATATAAATGAAAAGTCATAAAATATTATTATATTAATTTCAATTTTTTCATAAAAATCATAAAATTTAATTATATTAATTTTAATATTTTCAAATTTCATAAATTAATTATTTCACTTAATTTAACTAAAATGATAAAAAGATAAAAAAAATCATAAAATATTATTATATTAATTTAATATTTTCAAATTTTATAAATTAATTATTTCACTTAGTTTAACTTAAATGATAAAAAGATAAAAAAAATCATAAAATATTACTATATTAATTTTAATCTTTTTTCATATTTTATAATTTTATTAATATATTTATGACTTTTGATCTTATTTGTTGTCATAAAAGAGAATAGATACTTTACTCCACTAATAAGAAATTATTTTTTAAGTTTCATGATATTATTGTAGTTAGATATGAGATTAGTTTTTTTTTCTTTTCTTAATATATTTTAATATGATTTTTATTTTAACTTTATTCTTATAATTTTTAAATTATAGTATGAGTCAATTGTTTTTTAAAAAAATTTTCAGAATTGAAAAAAATTATTATATAATTATACATATATGCATATGTTTTATTTATTCTTTTTAAAAAATAAAAATTAATTGTATAAAGCAAGGATAAAAATCCTAATAATACTCTCATACTACTTTACTTACATTTATTTATACTATGGGTCAGACCAATAGAAATGAGTAATAACACTTTTTTATTATATTGAATAATATAGATAATTTTTAAAGAAAATAAAAATGAAAGTAAAAGTAAAATGTAAACATAAAATCAATCAACTCAAAATAAAAATATGAGTTATTATAAAAAAAAAGTAAAATATGTTTTGAATCATTTACATATTTTAATTTTTAATCAAATTAAATTGGATTTCAAATGAATTAATGAAGTAATGTATCCAGCAATATTTTAATATTAGCTTGCTATCCGATGTATAAATTATCCTTATTTATTTAAATATAAGTAAAAATATAAATTAATATTATTTAATTGCTTACATATTTAAATTATATATAATACATATATTATAATTAAGACATTAAATTATAATAAATTGATTGTAATTATCTTTTGAATTTAAATACATATATAATAAGTGATATTTGTATTTTTAAATTAAAAAAAGATTAAAGGATTATAAAGAAAGTAACAAAAATAAAAACATCCATTTAAAATTTTTAAATTTTAAAAAAAATATATCTGTAGGTAAAATTTTAATCATATAAGATTAAATTTTTTAAGTTCTATATTTTTATTACAACTTATTGAGTTTTTTTTTTTATAATTTAAAAAAATCATAGAAAATTAATTATAAATAATTTGGGTAAGATTTTATTTTTAAAAATTTTGATATTTGAATTTAAATTATATATGATAGATATTGTTTATGTATGAAAAAAGAAGATATCCAATTGAGTATTCAGGTAATAAATTTTATCAAATATTTTTATATGTTATAATATTTTTTATATATAATACAAAAATAAAATACAAAACATATATAAATTTTATTAAAATTTAAAATAGTATATATATTTTTTTCACGTCAAATTAGAATATTGTATTCAAAATTATCAATTATAAATTATTTAAAAAACCCTACAGCTAAAAGCCTAAAACCCTACCGCAGAAGCAAAACTTGAAAAGAAATGAAAGCATAGAGAGAAACGGAAACAGAAACAGAGAAGAAAAACACACACAGACAGAGGCAATGGCTTTGTATCTACGACGAGCAATCAGATTAAGATGCACAACATCACTGTTACTTAGAAGCTCAAAAACCCAAACATGCAATGTCTCTCATTTTCTCTTTTCCCATAACCAAACAACTTCCCATACTCAAAGCCCCAATCCTTTCCCTTCCTTTGATTTCCTCAGAGATTCTCGCCGAAGTTTCGCCAAAGGCAAAAAATCAAGTATTTTCTAACACTCTCTTGCTTATTCTATGATGGGATTTTTTTTAAAGCTGTTGTTTTTTGTTATCTTTTCATTTTTTGTGGTAATCGGTTGTTGATTTCTTTGGTTGTGATTTTGTGAAAAGCAGCTTTTTTGTTATCTTTTCGTTGGTTGTGTTGATGGGTTGTTATTCGTCAGCTTTAAAGAGGTTTTATTTATTTATTTTTTTTTCCAGTTGGAATCTAGGGAAAATATTAGTTTCCCATGAAAATATCGATTGGGTTCTTTTTATCTGGCTTTCAAATGTTTTAGTAAAACTAGAACAAATGAGTGTTTTGGTAGTGATTTACCTTAATTGGCATTGTCAGAGGATGATTCTGGTGGGAGTACAATGGAGTTTGCTGCAGACATTGGGCCTAGTGTTAAAGCAAGTGCTGCAACACAGATGGATGCAGCAATTGATGCCTTATCACGAGAGTTAGCCAAATTGAGAACTGGAAGGGCATCTGCAGGTATTTTTTTCTAATTGGATGATTTGTTCATATCTTTCTAGTATTTGTAATATGATGGTTTTAGATTGTTGATTTAGATACTTTTGATATGTTTTTACAGGAATGCTTGACCATATTATTGTAGAAACTGATGGTGTAAAGATGCAATTGAACCACTTAGCTGTTGTTTCTGTCATAGATTCGAAAACTTTATCAGTGAATCCATATGATCCGAATGTAAGCCACTTCTATGCCATTTTTTTTTTCTTTGTATCCAGCATTTTTTTCCAGCTAAGAATATTGAAGAGACATGAACTTGTCACTAATAAATGTGATTAATTTATTGTAATGTTTAAAGATGTTCCAAGTTTAGCAAATATTGAATTGGAAGAATGCGAAGTTTTTTATTTTTTGTGCTTGTTTGTCTATCCTTTAGAGGAAAATGGTGAAACAAACATAAGTTGGTCTTTTGCTATTCAATGTGTGACCCATAGAAAACTCCTCAGCCTTCAAAAAATCTATTGTCTAGCATGTCAAATTACAATAGGCAACAATCCAAGATGGAGAAACCATACCCCTGACAGAATTTTTTTTTTTTTTGCAGACTCTAAAAGCATTAGAGAGTGCCATTGTTTCATCTCCATTAGGCTTAAACCCAAAGGTGGATGGTCAACGATTGATTGCAGCTATTCCACCGTAAGTTTTTAATTTGTTTGAATAATTTCCACTTAGATATTATTTTCTATTCAACAGTTAATCAAATTTAGTTTGTTTGAAAGTTTGAAGAGTTTGGTCTTATCACCAACATAAAAATATTTACAAATTAAGTGCAACCTATCTGCAATTAGTTTCTTGTAATCATTTGATTATATGGTTAGACTTTCTGTGGTTCCTATATATATATATATTATATTTTCCCTGCTTGATTGTTATCTATTCTAAATCTATTTTACTTTCTGATCCCTCAACTAATGTACTTTTCTCTGTTTTGCTATGACCAGATTAACGAAAGAGCATATGCAGGTGAGTTTAGGATTGTCTTAACCATTTTTTAACTGTTCATTTTATTCTTGCATCTATGCTATTGACTGCTAATATATTCTTGCATCACCGTACAATTTTACCAGGCTATGTGCAAGGTGGTTGCCAAGTCTTCTGAAGATGTTAAACAAAGCATAAGAAGGGCTCGACAAAAGGTATTGAGTAATAGATCTTATACCTGATTAATTTTTTATGCTGCAAAGCTCTTATCTCTAACTTTCTTTTAATGGCTAATTAAATGCAACAAAGTAGTGCTGACATACTAGAGGATGAAACTTTTAGAATGAAATATCCAGTTTGAATGTGCATATCTCATCTTATGTAAGAAGGTTCTTCCAGCTATGATCAGATGTTCATAATTTGGTAATTTTACACATATTTCCTGTGCTCATTTTAAGTGGATTTTTTTTATAGTACACTTAACATATCAAAGCCCTTTATTTCTTAATGTTTGTCCGTGGCAACCTCAAAGAAATGTGAACACAATCATCCTTGAGCAAAACAGTGCTTGAACGTGTTTCTTGTGAGTGGCACAAATAATGAAAAATAAGAGCACCTTGTTGCCTTGGAAGTTATAAATTTTCATGCTGGACTCACTAGTGGTACCACGTGTCTCTGAGTAAATTTTTTGCTTTTATTACAGGCATTGGATACAATAAAGAAAGTCAGTTCTGGTTTTCCTAAGGATGAGGCAAAGAGACTGGAGAAAGAAGTGAGTTAGTTTCATTGTTGTTGAACAACTCTGTTTAAGTTGTTCATTGGTTTTGTCGTCTACTAATGTTTGAATTTTTCTCCAGATTGATGAGTTGACTAAAAAGTTTGTCAAGTCAGCTGATGATTTGTGCAAGGCAAAGGAGAAGGAGATTACTCAAGGCTGAGAAGCAATGTTGTGGTGTTCCTAGAATCCAACACAATTTTCTGTCCATTTGAAAGCTTATTGTCTTGATTTCAATCGAGTTTTAGACTCTGATATGAGTAGTAACATTACTGTAGATTTTGATAGATACAACCATTGATTCAATGATAAGTAAAATTATACTTTTGCCAGAAGGTTCAAGAGATCTTAGTTCCCTTCAACTGATGATTTTTTGGGGGCAAACATGAATGACTTTTCATGCACACTTTTCATCTAATTTCTTTGAAATGATTAGCTGTACTGCTACTTATTCTCAATTCCAAATTAACTGTCCATAAAAAGTGATGGACGCAAGTTTAAAAATAGGGTGACCATGCAAATGCAAAGATAAGGTGTTGATAAACACTCTTAAAGTTCGGAAAATAAAAAATTTAAAGAAAGTTTTGTTTTGAATATCTTTAAAATTCGTTTGGAATGTATATTTTTTAAATTTTCTTAATCATTCCATTCATTGTTACTATTCAATATCCAGCATAACTCACAGCTCGTTAACACCTACCATCTAACAGGTAACCACCATAATAAGTGGACATGTCCCCAAAAAAAAAAAAAATCCTGTCCATCATTGTCCATAACAGTACAAAACTACATGGCTGTATTTGCTGTCAGAATAGTGTTTACGTCTACAGGGATCAGCTTTACAAGGAAATGTCATGGTTATAAGTTGTATTGAATGCATTTTTAAGTTGAAGATTTTTAATATATAAATTTTTAAAAAAATGCAAGTCTAAACACAAACATAACTCATGAATCCAAGTTGTAGTATGTTTATGGCCTTTCGGGGGTACAAGTAAGTTAAGTGGTGATTTGGAAGTTGTGTTATGGATGATTTGTATTTGTAACAAGAAGGCATGGTTACGAATGTTGAAATTGGTTTTCCGAGATACGTTTTAACATTTAAATCAGTCAAATGTTTAAGGTTTGTTTGAGAAAAAAGTAAATTGCAAGGAATACTCAAAAAACCTTAAAGGAAACGGATTTAGAATTTTTATCATAATTAACTTTTTTTTACCTTATATATGAGATAAATGACAATGATATGATAAGGGTTGTTGATAATTGATAATAAATTCATGTGGAGTTCAAAAAAAGATAAAGTGGGTGAGTGTCGGTGATATTTAATGATCTTATACTAACATGAATTATATTTAATAATCTCAAGCAAACGAAAGTACAATTGGTTTATTGTAAGGTGATGTCCTAATCCAACAATAATGGATGTAGTTGGGTGACTCTTCTACATGCGAGGGCGAGTTTGTTTTGTGGTGAAGAGTATAGATGTTGACTCTTGTAAGTGATGACGTTGCAATTGGACACATACTAACTTGATAAGTGTGTGGATTGGCCATGCTGACTAAGTGGATAATTATAACAATTGCACCTAGGTTTAAGCGGGGTTATAACATGACCACTTTTAGACTTTTGGGAGGTCGTGTCATGGAGATTTGACGAGTGATCCAAATCGAAAGATTTTATTTTGGCAAGCTTTCTTGGGGACTTACTAATGATGTGTCCATGTTAATTATGTTTTGTCTTGGCGAGCCATGTTGCATATCCATGTAGGGCGAGGGACTTTGTATTGATGAGCCATGGTGATGACATGTTTCTATTAGGCAAAGGACTTTGCTTTGTAGAGTCGTGTAGGTGAGGACTAAGAAAAATTTTCGTGTCCTAAACATTGTGCATTGCATGTGGTGCAAGTGAATGAAGTGCTCCGTTGGGAGCATTTTGGGACACACACACCTGTGTTTATGAAATATACAGCTACGTAGGACTCATGGTGCAATAGGGTTAAAAGGTTGTCAGGCACAATTAATAGGTTTGAATTATAAATTGTACCAATTCAAAGAAAAGGGAAATAATGTGTCTTTTGAAAAATTGTGTAATTGAAGCGTCAGTTTGAATTGGAAAATTGATATGGACCATTTCATGATTGGCCCAAACAGTATTTTAATTGGTATTGTTTTAACGGAAACATTTAGTGTAGTATAAATAAGAGAGAAAATTTTCAAACTCACTTTGTCAATTTGCAAATAAGGAAAGCAATTTGTTGTCTAAATTTCATGGATTTTCTACGGTTTACTACTATTATTAAGAAATTTTTGTGGGTGAGTGATTTTTAGGTTTTCGTTATTTGTCATTTTAAGTGTGATTAAAAAAATGGCACCAAAGAAAAGAGTGGTAATTGAAGATTTGAGTGATGATGAAGGCACTGTAGTGTCAGTTACTAATGTTAGGGCTCAAGGTAGGGGAGATAGAGTTCAAGGGAGGGGTCATTGAGCCCAGGGGGCTTAGGGCAATAGTGACCGCAGTTGTGCTATAGTAACTCGAAATGTAGGGGCTTTTGATTTTGGGGCAAATGCCCCTAACAGTAATAAGAAAATGAGAAAAAGGCAGTTGTAGAAGAGCTAAAAGACCTCGTACAAAAGACTTGGCCACCAAATGTGTACCAGTCCGTGGCCATGACAAGCATAGCGAACTAGGCCTTAGATTGCATGGCTTTCAACCCAAGGAACTCAATGTTCTTAGTTTCATTAGCCCTCAAGTGTTTAACCATTAGCCAAGTTGGGGTAAATAAAGGATTGTTGGGGTTCTATCTACATAGTTTTTGCTATGGGTTCCATTTGCTGCTACACCTATTCTTCCATTTGGTGCTAGTTACGTTCAATCTGGCTGTATCACAACTGGTGCCTAACACTTAAAGGATACTAGTTACTTATTTCATATACTACTGATTAATTTAATGGGTTCTCTCAAAAGAATGTGATTCTATCGTTCTACATATTGTAAGAGATAAACGAATGGCTATACCATCTCTGAGCTTATAGGTGATCATGCGTGGTGGAGTTATCTTCTAACAACCATCCTAATTATGATAGATTTGTGGCAGTCTGAACAAAGACGCTTGATGTACGATTCACTGTTAAGATTAAGTGGTCTCATGCCAATACATTGGTGAAGAGGACTCTAGAGCTTTGGGACATTGAAGCAAAGCATGTAAATACTTTGAAAAATAAAAAGTTGTCCTATAATGTGATGCCCACCCATAAAAATATCTATGGCTATTGCCTCATCCTTAGCGAAGGTCATGTTTTTGTCATTGTTGTATAGTAGGTAAAAGACCAAGATGAGGGACAAGGTGGACTAACAAAATTTTGGGGGGAAAAATTAGGGGTGCTAGCCCTCATGTCTAAAGGAAAGGAAGATTTGGGGGGCCAGAAGAGTAAATTAGTTATATGTAATTGTTTATTTTTTTTTGTTTATCTGTCTACCTTGAAATTACTATTAATGTGGTCTCATTGTGCTTGGTATTACAGTGAAGAAGGTGGCAATTAAGTTTAACAAACCTGTGATTTACCTATGAGGCCCACAAGTTGGTGGCATGCAACGAGTAGTGGAAAAGTGGCTAGTTGTGGTTGTTTTTGTCGGTATGCAGGAGAATGTTGGCATAGAATACTTAGAAACCCAGAATGTTGATGTGGCTTAAGTTAGTGATAAGGCATTAGGTGTGAGTGGGTTTGTGGGGATAGGTTCTAGCGTGCCAAGTGCTGGGTCATAAACATGGGTAATTATGTTATGCTTTGTTTTACTTGATCGTGGTTAATTGATTCTAATGTTTGTTTATTTTACAAAAATGGATTATGTTTCTAAACTTCAGAAGATCTTTCAACAAGAGAAACAGAGGGGGAAGATATCATTGTAAGTTATTCCTCTTTCTATAATGAAACAAGTTGTAAGTGCATCTGATGCACTTTTTAGTGCGGTGCACAACAATGGGGTTCAACCTTTAATATCAACTGTGGTGTCCGTTATGTCCATGATCCTAGTGTCTAGTGTTTTTACTCCTGCAATAATAGTGGCCATGCCATAGCCATATCTACTACAAATGTGACAATGATTCTTATGGCAGTTTTACTTGCCTCTGGTTCTAATTTTGTTACTCATTCTATCGAACCATCAATTGTAATGACTTTTTTCGATGATGGTTAGTTCCAACATCAGCATGCTCACTAATGAAAAAATGAATGCCTCATTAAAGGTTGCTACACTTGCTACTAGGTAATCCAATGAGAGACTTGATCAGATATCCACCATCGACTTTAGAGCCATCCACGAGTGGCCACTTACCATTCTTTCTTTTGAAGTCACTTGTTTTAGGGCCATGACTAGTTCACCTCATTTTGCTAAGGAAAAAGTACAGTAGCTTTCCATTTTCAAAAACTTACAAAATAAGTTATTTATGGCTACTAAAGTAAGTATTAAGTAAAGTTGGTAGCTTTGTACTTGTGGATTGTTTTGGTGTGTTATTGCTGACTAGAAGCATTCATTATTGTGTAGTTATTGGTAAATAAGATAGGCTTGTATAAGAAAGTGAAGTTGTTGGTAGAGGATTTATGATACAATAAGGAAATCCTATAAGAAAAAGCCCAGGTCAAGGCAAATTAAAAGACTATGCTTCATAAAAAGATGCCTTAATTAAAGGTTAGAGACCTTAAATGCCATCTTGCAAAGAAATGTGAAGGAGTTGAAGGCCTAGTTAAGGAAAACCACTAGAAGAATGTTGCTATGTAGTAGTGTTTTAATGCCGCCACTACTTTCCTTAAGGAAGTTGGAAAGAAGAATTCCAAATGCAAGACGAAAAGTGATGGCAATTGCTTATGCCAACCATGCAGAGGTGGATAAGGATCAAAGCATAAGAAGGGCTTGATAAAAGGTATTGAGTAATAGATCTTATACTTGATTAATTTTTTATGCTGCAAAGCTCTTATCTTTAACTTTCTTTTAATGGCTAATTAAATGCAACAAAGTAGTGCTGACATACTAGAGGATGAAACTTTTAGAATGAAATATCCAGTTTGAATGTGCATATCTCATCTTATGTAAGAAGGTTCTTCCAACTATGATCAGATGTTCATAATTTGGTAATTTTACACATTTTCTGTACTCATTTTAAGTGGATTATTTTTATAGTACACATAAGATATCGAAGCCCTTTATTTCTTAATATTTGTCCATGGCAACCTCAAAGAAATGTGAACACAATCATCCCTGAGCAAAACAGTGCTTGAACGTGTTTCTTGTGAGTGGCACAAATAATTAAATAAATAATTATGTTGACAATGTAAAATTTTAATTAATTATTATTCCTATAAATATAAAAGAAAAAAGTTAAAAATTTAAAAATAAATTGATAATGTAAACAAATAAAATTAGTATCATTTAATGTAAAATGGGTAAGAAGTATCATAAAATACTAACAAAGAGCTATGAAAAT